CAGTTCTGGTGGGCTAGGCTGCAGCGCCCAGATCTGAGCCCCACTGCCCCCCAGTTCCCAGAACAGGTACAGCAATATTTGTTTGACTTGTCCACTTACCACTTCCCCAGAATACATTCCTGCATGTCGGTTGCTCCAATTCAGGAGGCCGCCCAGACTTGAACTACTAGCCCTTCTGTCCACCAGAGCCCTTCCCGAGAGGTGCTTCTGTGAACAATCACGACACTGACGGCTATTCCCCAGGAACCAAACGTTCAAGAGCAAAGAGGCAAAGCAAGGCCAGGTGCTGAGTGAGGGGCTCCTCAGCAGGTAAGAAGCCAAACCCACGCGGGGCAGAGCTGGGGCATGAGGGCCGCCTGGCCGCCTTCTCCCGCCGTTACCCTGAGCCACGCGCCCTTCGGCGTCCCAGTCCCTACGTGAGTGCCTGTCCTCTCACCCAGCATGCTGTCCCTGCGCTCAGGGTCCCTGGTCACCTTGTGGATTCAGAGGGCACAGCTCCCGGATGAGGTGACACCAGCTGAGCCAGCAGCCTCGAACTTTCGCTGTGACACCACCACCTACATCATCAGGCAAACGCCCAGGAGCTGCTTTCACAGGGGAAATGGGCCAGACGACGTGAAAGCAAGAATAAAACCCAAACTGGGAGGGTTATCTTGATCACCCTGTAGACTTGTAGCAAAGACGCGGGCAGCTACAGGGGCATCCCGGGCACCGGGCAGATTTCTCTCGCCCTCTGTCGCCCCTGCCCCGCGTCAGCCTCCCTCGCCCCCTCCTCAGGAAACCGAGCAAGTGAATCAGGTCAGAGCAAAGCGTTCCTTGTCCTGCCATCTCCACAGGGAAAGCTAATTAGTCGCCAAATATTCAGAATGGGTAATTGCTACCTGAATTAATAAGGGCAAACAGCCGGCAAGAAAACAGTGGCTTACTCTTTCCAAAGGTGTGCCTCTCTTAACCCGTGGTTCCGAGCTCTGCTGGGACCGACTGGCTCGGCAAGACACGGGTCCTGCCGGCCGCCCCTGCTCCTGGGTCAGCTCCGACACTGCCGTGGCTGAGTCACCGTCGGTCTCCCCTTGAACACGCACCTGCACGCGCTACACACACACCACACACATGCACGTGCATGACACACGTGTGCACACATACACACGCATGCACCTGCAAGTGCACACGACACACAGGCACACACACGTGCACAGCACACACCAGGAACATCCAAGGGTTTGAGGAGAATGGAATGCATCAGCATGCTCACCCAGGTTTCCCAACAAGTTGCCCCAAGTTGCCTCAGCTCTGGCCAGCGGGCATAGAGGCCAAACTGAGGGGGCTGCAGGCAGGATAAGGAAGGGGGGGAAGAGGAAAGTTGAGATGACCCTGCCGAGAACGCAGCTCCTGGGAAGGCTGGAAGAGCCGGCTGTAGCCCTCACGCACACCCGCCAAGCACAGACTCCAGAGTCACAGCAGAGCAGGCCTGAGGCGCCGGCAGAGCCCTGTCTCTACATTGCTGTGTGACCTCAGACAGGTCGCTTCCCCTCTCTGGGCCTGAGTTTCTGCCTGTAGAGAAATGGGGTGAACAGTTCTGAGGCGCTGCCCTCCAGGAAGTCTTCAGTTCACGTTTGGGGTCCTCAGTCACCCCTGCCCTTCAGCCCCTCCACCTCCCCCCCTGCCCAAGCACTTAGCACAGGACTTCCCCCGAGTGTGGCAGCAAGTAACTTCCTCTGGGGTGGCCATAGCTCTCTGGAGGAATCACTATGTCAGAGGTAGCTTGGGCCGGAGCCATCCCACCACCGACACCGCTGTCAAATCTGCACAGGGATCCTGGGCTGTGTCTGGACGGGCTGCCCTTGCTGCCTGCCCATCCATGAGAAGCTACTGTGCAAATTAAGTGAGTCTACATGATGCAGACAATCCTTCCTTCATTTCTTCACTTAAAGGCTCGTTGTAAACAGCTCTTGCCACTGTACATGGAGAGCTGTCTTTCTAACAGCCAAGCAATATTTCTACTGAATGGCCGTATCACAAAAGGTCTAACTGAACCCCTACCGAGGTTATCTCACTTCAGGTATTTCCAACCTTGGACTTTTACAAACATTGCTTATATGTACTCATTTCAAATAAATAAGTTCTCTGTGTATAGATATCTACATTTATCTTTGAAGGTTCGTATGTATCTAGGAACAAAGTCTGGAATGCCACCCACCAAGTTCACTGTGCTGACTTCTGAGGGATAAGATTACGAAAGGAAACTCAAAGTTTTGTAAGCAAGTGTCACTTTTTAATTTTTAAAAAATGAATGAGTGAAGGAGAAAATAAACAAAATGCAGTCACTCTTGAACCTCTGTAGGGTACAGATCTGGCAGGAGCAGAGCCTCGGGAAAGTGGAGTGAGGGGAGGAAGGGAGCGTGTCCAGGGGACAGAGGCAGGGACCACTGCCCTGCTCCAAGAGGCCGGCTCTCCCCAGGGTAGAGAGGAGGGGACCAGGTTCAAACCCTGACGCCCAGCACTAAGCAGGTGTAGGACTTCAGTCTCCCGTGTGTGAAATGGGAAGCACAGGGCTACGCGGTGGCCGGGCTGCCTTGAGGTCTAATGAGATAAATCGAGAGAGCAGAGGGGCCACCATCAGCGTCCTGTCCTGCGACTTCCTTCCTATAGGAGGTTCAGAGAAAAAGAAACACCAAACTGATGGCTGTCCCTCAAATCCTCCCTCCTCCCCCGCCTCCCAGACGGCTGGACCCAGCAAGGGGGCAGGTGGCAGTACACACGCCTGGCATTATTTCTGCCAGAGAGGGAACTCTTGACAACAACCAGGCTTTTGGCACAAATGAGAAGCCGACTTGAGCACATCTAGAAACCCCAAGATGATTAAGGATTGAGACAGCCCCCTCTGTCATCAATAATATGTCAATAAACCTACTGGCCGATGTTTTTAAAACTCTTTTTTTCAGGAAAACTCAGTAAGCCCAAGAACCCAGAAACACAGCAGCCCTGGGGCTGAGCGGGAAGGTTTTAAATAATCCCAATGGTGTGTATGAAGTTAAACGATCCGCCCCTTCACATTGATACTCCCTGGATTAGGGGGTCAGGTCTCCTGCAAACTCCAGTTCAAAGGGAGACGCTGACGGGAGACGGTGCCCAGTGCAGCTGGCCTCACACGTCTGTGCTGTCGTCGTCGCCAAACGAGGACCCGCCTCAGCCTCCAAGGATCCACGGCACCCAACCAGGCTGTCAAAATCAACACCACAGCCGTGTGCCCTTGGGAGTCAGTGACCTGAGCCAAAAGGCCCAGGTCCCTCACCTGTAAGGAAGCATCGCCTTCCTCGGGGGCTGTCGGGAGGCCTGATGAGATAAAGCCAGGAGCTAAGAGCTGGCCCAATCCCCATAGCGGCTGCCGACCAGCATGCCCACGGCTCTCAGACGGAGGGGCTCATGGGCTGTGAAATCACTTGCAGACTATGACGGGCTTGTGTGTCTGAAGGCCTTCAGCCGCCTCCCATGAGCCAGCGCTGGGTCCCCCACCTGCTAGTATCCCCAAGGCCGGGAAGGAAGCGGTCCAGAATCGCTCAGCCGCCAAAGCATCTGCCCCGACATTCCTGCGTCGTGGACCTGCTCCCCTCCCCCTCTGCCCACAGCCCTCCTGCCCTCCCCCGCCCCTCAAGTGTTCCCAGGGTTCCCAGCCACCCAGGAAACAGCCTCTGGCTCTCTCCCAGGAGGCACTTTGAACATCTCAAGTGCCCCTCTCCAGCGAACATCAAAGACGATGGTGCTTCCCGTTGATCCTTAGACCCAGTGACCTGTGTGTGGCCAGCCACACGGTGCCTGTCGGACACGAGCTGGGAGCCCAGCTTTGATCAGTGAGTCGCTGGCCCCCCAGACACCCCTGTGCCCCAAATTCATTCCACGGTCAGGTGGAGGGAGCTGGATTAGGCCTGGAATTTGCACCTTTATCCCCCTCAATAAAGAGCCGCATCCCTCTAAGCCTGTTCCCTCATTTTATTATGGGTTAGTGGCTCAAACATTTTTAATTTTAGAAATGATTGCAAACAATCGAATAGCACGCTGGCTCCGTGTCTCCCAGTTAATAATCTCTCCATGCACAGGGACAGCAATATTTTTAGGCCCTATTCAAGTTACCCATCCTGGCTGCAAATGAAATATTAATTAAAGGTTATGCTCGCAGCCTTCGGAAAATGATCACTCAAGGTAGCAATTATATTTCCCCCACTTCTCTGTGTAATAAGACTGCACCTCGCTGTTCAGTAGGAATTAATAATTCTGAGCCCTGTTGTTACAGAGGCAGCATCAAAGTGGAAGAGAGGGTGTGCCCAAGAGGGGAAAACTCAAACACGCTTAGACCCACAAAGAAAGTGGGTGACTTCAAAAGAGCAGGGCTGTCTATTCAGGGCTGGGATCATTTCTCAAGGTCATCAGCAACTCTAGCTGACGGAAAGGGTGGCTCAATTACAAACCACACAGAGAAACAGAACAGGACGTAGAGACGGCTCCCCATCCGGGTCGCTTAGCGCAGCCCATAGCTTGGTGTACACCGGTAGCCAATCAGCCGGCTCCCCAGGGCCTTTCCGAGGCACTCAAAAACTCAGGACAGTCAGCGACCCAAGAGCCAGCAGCTCAGTGGCTCCTCAGGCAATGCCCATGCAAGAAGAAAGAGGACAGTCTGTAGCCTGGAAAATAGCATCAAGAATGAAATCCATTCACAGACTTTGAAAACAAACGTACGGTTACCAAAGGGGAAAGGTGCGGGGGAGGGATAAATTAGGAGTTTGAGACTGACATACGCACACTACTATATATAAAATAGTTAATCAACAAGGACCTACTGTAGAGCACAGGGAAGTCTACTCAATATTCTGTAATAACCTAAACGGGAAAAGAATCTGAAAGAGAATGGATGTAGTATATGTATAACTGAATCGCTTTGCTGTACACCTGAAACTAACACAACGTTGTAAATCAACTGTACTCGAATATAAAATTTAAAAATTAAATTAAGAAAAAGAAACAATCTATTTATTGCATGTAGCTCCTAGATGCCAGGCAAACTCAGTGAGACAGAAATCCCCATCTTCACCTGAGAGATAAAAGCTGAAGCTCAGAAAGATTCATCGACACAGTAAATGGCAGAACTGAATTCAAACCGACAAACCAACAATTTCGTGAACGAGGGCTGTGTCTCCACCGTTGATCTAGCGTGGCGCCTGGCACATAGTAGGCACTCAAGAAGTTTTACTTATTTAATGAATAAATGATTGAACTCCTGAATCAATCGTCCACGCTCAGCAAAGCTCAGCAACTTCTCAACAAAGAAGACTTAAAAAAAAAATAGCTGTGACTTTAATTAAGTCTCAGGGTCCAGGGAACTGGGAAGGTCAGGGTACGAATGTCCTGATGAGGCACTCATCACCCCACCCCCAAGCATGGCCCAAGTCTTCCCCTGGAGGCACCGTCAAATATTTTTCATAAGATGGAATATAACAGTGCCGGAAGTTACAACTATATGGTATGAAACAATTATGGTTTACTTTGTCCTGTGACAATGTGAGTATCAGAAATTCTTCCAGAAGCTCCCTGGGAGAAGCCTTCAGTGACCACATCAGACCACACTCTGATCCTGAGGAGTGGTTCCCACCACCCTACACCCTTGAGGTTACTCTGGGGCAAAAGTGAAAAGCCTTAAGGCCTCCTCTCAAGGACAAGGTTGCAGGTATTTGGTAGCTGTGAAGCTGGTGTCTCCAGATCACGAGGCCTGGAGCCAGGGGCCCAACCCGCAGAGGAGAATGTGCTGACCCTGCAAAGCTGCCCTGGGGCCACTGAGGTGGGGGTGAGGCCTTGCCCCTCGAGCAGAGAAGAGGAGGGGTTCGCCAGAGCTGTGCAAGTGGAGAGAAGGGTCCGAGGCAGAGAAACTCCCAGAGGGGTAAGTGAGGCAGACTGCGGTGGTTGGAGTCTCCAGGTCCAAGGATTCGTCTGGAAACTGCAGTGCCTTTGTGTACCAGCGAGGAGCTGGGACAGCCCTTCAGGATCTGAAAGCCACGGCGGGCAGGAGAGGGTCTGGGAGTAGGCTGTGGGGAGGCAGTCAGGCAACTCGCAGGCCCTTCGAGCAGGCAGAGAGCAACACAGGCCCAGCCACCTGCCAGTGGCGGCTGGTGGACTGCAGCCAGAGGGAGGGACGCACGCTTCCCAAGGGTCCCGTACATTTGACACTGCACTATGTGCTGGGCACAGTGTTCCAAGATGCAGACCCTCCTCTTGAGGACATGCAGACCCTCCTCTTGCAGACATGCAGACCCTCCTCTTGAGGACATGCAGACCGGTGAACAGACAATGTCAGTGCATCCTGCATGCAGCCGGATGCAGAAACCAGGACCCAGAGCCTCGCTGGCGAATGCGGATAGAGCTCAGGTGTCAGAGCTGCTCCTCTGCGGACACTAAGGGCTCATTGAAGCCCACGCGGTCCTGAGACCCCTCCCAACCCCAGGGCCTAGGAACCCCCTTATCACATCGCCCTCTGGGATGAGGACACCCTGGCGGGAAGCATGGGTAACACCAAGGCCGGGGCACCATGGGAGGGAGGGACCCAGGGGAGGGCCTACCACCTCCAGAAAAGGGGACCCAGAGCCGCCCGCTGTTTCTGACACCAAATGGATCCACCGATACTCACCCTCCTCGGGCACAAGAGGTCCCAGAGCCCAGAGGCGTCAGAGCCACCAGCTTTCTCCCTTCGCTTAACCTCTAAGTCCTTCCCTGCTCAGCAGGGCTTGGCCAGAAAGGCCACACAGAGAGAAGGCACAGTGGCCAGAGACAGGAAGCAAGGGGGGGACCTGTGGTCAGAGTCCCGCAGGGAACCCGGCCCCGGGGCAGAGCAGCCTGGGAACTCATCTGCAGCTTAACAAAGGCCTCAGACCCACACCAGCCTCTGACCTGCCTCGGGGCCACCTCTGGGGGTTGGGGGCAGGACAAGGGCACTCAAGATAGACCTGAGAGCAGCTGGAAGGCAGCACTGCCTGACCCCGAGGGGGCTGAGCCAGCCAGGCAGGCTTCCCGGCCCCGGGACTGACTCTCCACCACCAGAGGGACATGAGGGAGTGGCATCCGTGCGAAGGGGAAGCGGGAATGTTCCAAGCTCCTTTCCTCTTCCAGGAGTCCACGAGGCTGCTGTCCACAACCCTGAGATACTGGGACGAAGCACTGCCCCAGCACAGATTCCGCCAGTGACCACAGGCCTTGTTCCCAGGGGAGGGAGCAGGTGCCCCAGGCAGGAACCTAGAGATACTGTGGCCAGGGCCACCCCAGGGCTCAGAAGCCAGTGCCGATGGCATCTGTAGGAAAGAGTATTTCATTAGCCAAGTTTGGCTTCTCCCTCCACCTAAGGCCTCACTCATCATGGGGATGGGAACGCCGAGGACACCAGGACCCGGGAAGCACACCTCAGGTGCGGGCACCCCACCATCCAGGGCCTAAGAGGCCAGAAGCAGCCCGGGCCCCCAGGTAGGAAGTGGGATGTGGTCCTGCCCGGATGGGCACACTGAGTGCTGTGCAGCCAGCCTGGTCACAGTCATGCAGGGATCAGGCTGCTGGAGGGAGGGGTCTCCACCCAAAGCGGGGCTCAGGGGAGGAAAGGGGCTTCACACACACTCGCGTTCATTCCCTAACACCTAATGCCTCACTCTGCAGGGTCATAAAACAGAAGCGGTCTCTGCCCCCAGGAGCTCCTGGCCGAGGGGAGAGGCGTGATTACACGCCTGATGTAGGGTGATGAAAGGTGATGGTCAGCCCAGGTCGGTGCAGGGATGCAGCGCTGGGGCAGGCACAGAGGGCACAGTGGGACTGTGGGGCGGTGGTGCAGAGGAGGGAAAGAAAGAGAGGGTGCGGGTCCCACAGGACCCCGGGGCTCGGCTACACAGGTGCCTCTCTAGAGCTTGGATTGAGGAAGTTGGGGTTAGAGGTCCAGACTGGAGTCCTTTCTGCTGAATTCCCCTTCCAGACGTCAGAGGCAAAGAGGAACACACATTGGACACCACCTGCGCCAGCTCTTTCTGCTCAGTGGGAGAAACAGGTCGTCTGCTCTCTGGCATGTCGCAGGTTCCCCTTGGGACAGAGCACCTGCCACTCCAGAGAGGCGCTGCGGCCCTCCGGCCCTCCGGGAGGAGCCAAGCGTTGAGGGAGGGGCTCCAGTAAGCCCCGCCCATCGACCACGGTCTCGCCCACCGGCCACGCCTCCAGCCGCAGGGCTCCTCCTCCTTGCTTACCTTCCCAGCCTCTTGCAGGACAGCTTGCCACTCCTGCCTGCAGCTCCCACCTTCCTGTTCCTACCTCCTGGCATCACCCGACCTGTCAGAATCACCTTTTTGCTAAGTCCGTTTCATTGCTTTTTCTGATGAATCCTTTCATTATTCCTGAGCCTTGATATAAACGTTCTCTCTTTTAACCTCCCCCCACCCCCTCCCCGACCCCATCCCACCCTCGTGATTTGTGCAGACATCTAATCTAGTAGATCAGACTCTAGGAGCTCCAGACAGACCCCTGTGGTCTGCCCACTGCGGGCACTGGGGGTCCTTGGGCACCACTTATGGAGTCAGATGAGAGGAGACTTGCTTCCCTTACACTCTGCATGGTTCGGGTTTCACACCACACCTTCCCGTGCAGATCTCAGGAACCAGGATGGGAACGCACAACCCCACTCACCCCCACCCCTCACCCCTGCCTTCGGGAAAGGCTCCTTCCACCCTGACGCGAGTTCGCCTCCATCTATAGGAGCCCACTGGGTGCTCCTCAGAACCTCCAGTCTTCCCTCCCAACTGCAATCTTGAAGGGCAATTCTGCTCACCAGTCCTGCACCTTTGTGCACCTACCGTGTGCTGGGTGTTAGATGAGACAGCAGGAAAGCCATGAGACACGGCTGGTGCTGTGCAGGGGCACACAGCAAAGTGGGAAGAGTGTGAACCTTGGCGTCAGGGAGACCCAGCTTCAAACTCTGGTCCTAACACGTGCTGTCGTGGTGATCTGGGAAAGTTACCCAACTTTCCTGAGCTTCAGTTTCCTCAGCTGTAAAATAGAGACAATAATAGCTTGCAGATATATGACTTGCTTGCAGACTTGTCATAAAGATGTAAGGAAAGTGTGACACACTGTGGGTTCTCAATAAACATGAGCTGTTATTGGACACTGAGTTCACTGGGGAATAAAAGCCCGAGTTCTGCACCCAAATTACCTGTTCAAACCCTGGCTCCACCACGAGTTTGCTGTGTAACCTTGGACAAGTTGCCTCACCTCTCTGTGCCTTGGTTTTCTCATCAATAGAATGGGGATAATATGCTGAACAGTTTCAGAGTCTGTTTGGGGGCTGATGAAGAAGTTTGGGAAATAGATAGTGGTAATAGCTGCACAACACTGTAAATGTAATTAATGTCACTGAATGTTGCTTAAAATGGTTAAAATGGAAATTTTTATGTTATGTATACTTTATCACAATTTCACAAAGTTAATAATGCAATATACCAAGAAGCAATGAATCATAGGTTTTTAATGGGTGCAATGTACGATATGTGAATTATATCTCAATAGAACTGTTTTTAAATAAATGGAGATGATAATAATACACAGCTAACAGGATTATTGGAGGGGATTAAATGAGTCCATACAGTGCTTGGAAAAGTTTAAAACCCTATCCAGCACCGTGTCCAGTGTTGGCTAGCATATAAATATACTTCATCCATCATTTCATTTAATCTTTATAAGAACCCTACAAGATTAAGAAGTATTTTTACTCATTGTATGGGTAAAAAAGATTGACAGTCAGAGAACTTTAACCATGTTGGCATGGAAGTTGCAAAGCCAGGATTCAAACCCCAGGTGTGTCTGACATCAAAACCTATCACTATAGTCTGGGGAACCATGTGGAGAAGACATCTGATTGAGTCTGAGCAAGCAGCAAGCTGAAGGGCTCCCGAGCTGGGAGCACCGTGGCTCATGGTGGCAGCGGGGTGGACAGCAGGAATTACACCATGCAGGTGGAGGACAAATAGGCCTGCAGGTAGACAGGTGAGTGTCCAAGGTCCTCGGGGGCCATGTGATGGCTGCTTGGCTAGGCCACAGTACTCAGATATTTGGTCAAACATTATTCTAGATGTTTCAATGAAAGTATTTTTTAGATGACACTAATATTTAAATCAGCAGAGTTGGAGGAAAGCAGACCCTCTGTAATATGGGTGGGCCTCGTCCAATCAGTTGAAGGTCTTGATAGAAAAAGTCTGATCTTTCTTGAAGAAGAGAGACTTCTGCCTGCAAATGGCTTTTGGACTTGAGCTACAACATCAATTATTTCTGCATCTCTGGCCTGCCGGCCTACCCTGTAGATTTTGGACTTGCCAGCCTCCAGAATCTCATGAGCCAATTTTTCAAAATAATCATCTCTCTCAAGAGATAGATAGATAGATAGGTGATAGGTAGGTAGATAGATAGATGATAGATAGATAGATAGATGATAGGTAGATAGATAGATAGATGGAAATACATAGATACAATTATAGATATAGTTACAAATACCTTCTATTGACTGTTGACTATTAGTTTCTCCGGAGAACCCGGACTAACATAGGCTGCAACTTTCCTGGTCATTTTATGACCAGAATGACCCGCTCACTATTGCCATGAGCTCCCATCATGGCCGGAGCACCTCAAGTGTGCCCTCTGCCACATCTCAGTAATAAGATCTTGAAACCCTGTCACCTTCCCAAGGAAGGAGAAGCACAACTGGGTTTGGGGATCTGTGAAGTTTGGGTTTTCTGAGGCCTTTTTCATCTTGTTTTAGAATCGTTTTTATAATTATTCAAACCACTCAGAAACACCTGAACTTTCCACTTCTAAGTTGGCTGTAAGTCACCTGACCCGGGTGTTGCTAGGTGAGAATTAAAGATCTTGAGTTTGAGAAGTCATTCTGCTTGGATACAGGAGGAAAGGTTGCCGTGGGGAGGGCGCCCTGTAAGTGATGAGGTTCCTGGCTACTGAGTGTGGAGCTCAGTCCCCGTAATAGCACACAAAGGAACACACACACGACACCGGACCCCTCTAGAGGCTTCTCCTCCCATACCTGCAGCCACAGCTCTGAGCTCAGAAGCAGGGGCCTGGCCCTGGGCTGCTTGGCAGCACAGACGGTGCTGGTTTCCAAGAAAGGGGCTGACAGCTCTCCGAGGCTGCGGGGAGGGGGCGGGGCAAGAGGGGCCCCTCTCCCATGTGGATGGCCAGCTCTGCTTTGCCTGCCTAAAGTTGAGCTTCCACCTGAGCCCTAAGGACATGGACAAGCCACAGCGGTCACCCCGCCAGCTGCAAGAGTCAGGACTCACCTGGCAGCCAGAAGACAGAGCAGTGGTGGCGAAGCCGGAAGAGCTATTGGTTACTTCATTTGCTTCTCAGAACAACTGTAGGAAGCGAGTGTTGCAGGGACTCAAGGTGGAGAGGGGCTGAGGCAACTGGGAGGCCAGTGGGACCAAAGCAGAGCTCAGCGCGGGGGAGGGAGGGTGTGAGCACGCCCAGTCACGTCCAGATGGAAGTGGCGTGCGGGACGCAGGGCCCAGCCAGGGGCCGACCCCACAGGGCAACAAGGGTGGCCCTGGGTCAGGGCACCTCTCAGGAGCCAGAACAGCTCGTTTCAAACCAAGACAAGGCAGAGACCAGCTCAGGACAGCCTGCCTACAAAGCTTAAACCAGCCCCAGATTCGGGATGCGTTGGCAGCTAAACCCGAAGACTACACATACTTGTTTTACAGTGAGAAAAATGAGGTTTGAAAGCAAATCTTGAGCTTAGAATGTGATTCTAAAGGAGAACTGACTTGAGTTGGAAGGCTTCTCTGCCTGCCTGGCTATCCCACGTCACCCAGAGCACTGTCACCTCCATAGACACCCGGCCAAGTCCGGGTGGATGGCACATCTGACCCTCCGAGGCTGCTGGCTTTCCTCTGCGGTGAACTCGGGAGTCCCGGACCCAGGGGACCGCAGTGAGCTGAGAGCGCAGAGGGGAGGAAGTGAGCTCTCCCACTTCTGCTTCCTCCACCCCGCACAGCAGGACTGCCTTGAGGAGTGGACCTTTCACCCATGTAGGGGCTGGGAACCTCACTTTCCTCTATAAAACTCTGCATGTTATGCAAAGATGCTCAACGCCATTAATTACTAGAGAAATGCAGATCAAAACCACAATGAGGTATCACCTCACACCAGCCAGAATGGCCATCATCAAGAAGTCTACAAACAACAAATGCTGGAGAGGGTGTGGAGAAAAGGGAACCCTCTTGCACTGTTGGTGGGAATGTAAATTGATGCAGCCACTATGGAGAACAGTATGGAGGTTTCGTAAAACACTAAAAATGGAGTTACCATATGATCCAGCAATCCCTCTCCTGGGCATATATCCAGAGAAAACTGTCATTCGAAAAGATGCATGCACCCCAATGTTCATAGCAGCATTATTCACAGTAGCCAAGACATGGAAACAACCTAAATGTCCATCAACAGGTGAATGGATAAAGAAGATGTGGTACATATATACAATGGAATATTACTCAGTGATTAAAAAAATAATGAAATAATGTCATTTGCAGCAATGTGGATGGACCTAGAGGTTATCTAAGTGAAGTAAATCAAAGAGACAGACAAATATTATATGGTATCACTTATATGTGGAATCTAAAACATGACACAGGGCTTCCCTGGTGACGCAGTGGTTGAGAGCCCGCCTGCCGATGCAGGGGACGCAGGTTCGTGCCCTGGTCTGGGAAGATCCCACATGCCGCGGAGCGGCTGGGCCCGTGAGCCATGGCCGCTGAGCCTGCGCGTCCGGAGCCTGTGCTCCGCAACGGGAGAGGCCACAAAAGTGAGAGGCCCGCGAACCGAAAAAAAAAAAAAAAGTAAAAAAAAAATGATGGCTTAGATATACACTGGTTGACATAGAAAGATATTCTCAATGTATTGGATTGAGTTATTTAAACAGCATGTTATAAAACACTATAAATATTCAAATGTTCTAATCTATTTTACAATGTCTTCATTACTTTTTAGTTACTTTTGTAATAAAATAACTAGTCGTATTGTGGATAATAGATAAATGAGCAAAGTACTGAGATAATTCACAAATGAAGAAATAAAAATGGCCAATAGGGACTTCCCTGGTGGCACAGTGGTTAAGAATCCACCTGCCAATGCACGGGACACAGGTTCGTGCCCCGGTCCGGTAAGATCCCACATGCTGCAGAGCGGCTGGGCCCGTGAGCCATGGCCGCTGAGCCTGCGCGTCCGGA